ACTTTTTAAATTGGATGTACGACCATGTGTCATTTCGTTAATAGAAGATTTTTTAGAATGCCGCCAAGAAGTAGTAAGGTATAAAGGTTGTATTTCAAATGTAAAAAATAAACAATGTAGGAGTCCCTCAAGGTATAAAATTGGGGCCTATATTATTTTTAATTATGGTTAACGATGCACGTCATGATTGTTTACTCCCTTTTTATAAGTATGTAGATGATTTAACTATAGTAGAAAGACGGACTTATACACACATATCAAAATTACAATCGGAATTATTGTTATTAGAAAATTGGTCTTTACTCAATAATATGAAACTTAACCCAACTAAATGCATTGCTATGACGGTCTCTTTTATGAAAAATCAAACTCACCAACTATTGTATATTGATGAGACACTTTTAAATGAAGAAAATGTAATCAAAGTTCTTGGAGTTTATATTCAATGTGATTTAAAATGGAATCCTTAAGTAAAGGAAATGTTAAAGAAGTGCAATAGAAAGTTATATATGTTACGTACCCTGAAACGTTTTAATTTACCTATTAGTGATCTCGTTATTGTTTATACTGGATACATAAGACCAATATTAGAGTATTGTGCACCACTTTTTCATTCCAACCTAATGCGTAAACAAACAGATAATATTGAACGAATACAAAAACGGGCATGTAGAATTATTTTGGGACTTAATTATGAAAACATATAATCATGCTCTAGAATTGTGCAATTTCTTAACGTTAGAAGAACGTAGGAATAAAGTTTGTTTTGATTTCGCCATTAACTTAAAAAAACATGAATTGTGTTCTTTATGGCTACCAAGTCAAAGAATTGTTAGATTTAATTTACGAAATGTACAGAAATATTTTCAATTTATTTGTAAAACCAATCGCTTTAATAATAGCTCTTTTCCCTATTTTGTCCGTATCTTAAACGATTATTATTCCAAAAAGTAAGCTTTATTTTTGTATATGTTTATGTTTAATGATGTTGCCTATTATGTGTATAAATGTATCTAGTATATTTATCCTTTTATATGTCATTAATTTTATTCTATGTTAACATGTATAATGCTCAGTGTATTTTAGATATCATGATGCTTTTACCTTGTACAAATGACCTGCAATTCAGCTTCGGCTGCCAGAACGTCATATGAATAAACCCTTATTGAATTGCATTGAATTGAAATTACTTAATCACAATTATAATTGATAAATGACACTATTTGTAAAGCTTAGATCCTCCTCTTTCATTTAATGCAAATCGTATAATGCATATTTCACGCATGAGTGATTAAAATGAATTTGAAGAGAGGAAACCAAAAATTCATTTGGCGGACGGTATCATATGAGTCGCATCTAATGAAAGAGGAGGTTCTGAGCTTTTTAAATATTTGTCATTTATTAATTATACATGTGACTAAGCTATGATAAAAACATTCTGGCACGCACTTTACATGTTTATTGAGAGGCATTATTGCTAATGACGAACTTTGCATTGTCTAAAATAGCATTCGACAAGCCTAATTTTAGTGTTATATTTGTTTACAGATAATAGCTATAAAAGCCTTGTACCGCAAATCATTTTCTGTGTTTCATTATTATATATAGAGTGATTTTTGTTGATTTAACGCGCTATAAATAGCATTATACATGCTTGATTTAAGCTCTATATTTGTTTACAGATAACAACTGTTTTATTGTATCAACATCGCAACACATATTGTTGTGTCTGGTTCAGTTTATGAAGAGCTCGGTTCCAAAAGGTACTACATCCATAAATCCAAGTTCTGAGAAAACACGATTTTCGAATTACCATAGTTAGCCATGTCAGTTTGGAATAATACTTTGGATGATTATACTATTGTATGACACAAGTATATAACCACTCTTTACACAAATTTAAGTCTGCACACAAAGTATTCTTGAAGTTATGTTTTTTTAGTTCTTGTGGATATACAGTAATATATACCTTTTGGAAAAGACATTGGATGGAGTACGTTTTGGAACAGAAATCTTGCATACTGTATGTAAGTTACAATGCATAACTTAAATGGATACAACAAACTTTTGAAACCGAACTGATTTTTAAATGCCACTTTTTTTTTACTTTTTTTTTTTTGGATTTGTTTTTTGGAAGTGTCAGTACATGAGGCTAATGGAAATGAGTACATTAATGCAAACAAAATACATTTAGGATAAAAATGGATGTAGTACCTTTTGGAACCGAGCTCTTCTTATATTAAAGATCATGATAACCTTTGTATTGACTAGAATGATATTTGACAAGCGTAATTTTAGGTATTTGTTTTCAGATAAAAACCATATCAAATCTTGATTATTCAGACCTGTTGCCTATTTTAAGCTTCCAGTGTATTAATTTAGAAACACTTGAGTTCTAAATATACTTAAAGTGTTTACATTACGCCTGTAAAACTGTTAAGAAATGAGGCCAACTGTGACTTTAACTAATTCAGTTTTCCTCATCAAACAAAGTGACTTATAAACAAGTAGTAAGGAAATTAAATATGGGCATGGAAAAAATTGTGCAAAGCCTCGTCCGTCGTTCATTACCGAAATTATAATTTTACAGTTCAGGAAGCTTTACCAAAAACATTACGCTCTTGTTACATGTAATATAGAGAAGAAATGTTCGTAATTGAATTATTGATACATAAGGTCATAAAATAATCGAGTCTTATTAACGCAGGATAGACATCAGTATCAATGCTGCTCTTCCTACGGGTACTCCAATCAGTACCCAAGCGATGGCGAATGAAGATTCATGTAATGCCAAAGGAAGTAAAGGCCAGACTAGGATACGAAATCTTAACCCTTGAATTGAGAGTCTAGACACAATTCAAACACCTCCCTCACACACGCGCGCATACACTCACCCACACACAACTTAATATGCCAAGAACCAATAACCTAGTTGTTCTTCTTCTTTAAGAAACTCGTCAATGAGATCCGATAAAGTCACGAGCCATTAACAGGTGTTCAAGCAGTGGTATTAACCAATCACAATATAGCATAGCACTACCATAATCGGCATTCTGACCAATTACAGAGCATCACAGACCCCTCCTCTACGTCAGCATACAATGGAGCAATGACCCCTTTCTAAAGAAACACGAAACACAAATATCCTAACATAACTGTCTTTATCCTCGCGGAAGGCACAGGAACAGCACTTCTAGGATTCGTCTTGATTGGATTAGACATCTATTTTCAAGTCTCCCGGCTCCCAAAGAGTAAATTATTACCTGACAGGTAAGAGTAATTTGGTACTTTAGTTAATTTTGGTCTATTTTGTTTGTTTTGCAAAATAACAACTACTAGTCTTCTTTATTTCCTCATAATTATAATAATTTTCACATTTTCAGCATTTGCCTCCATTTCTGGAGGGATATACATGGTTTACTAATATTTTCTTCTATCTGTAAGCTTTGTGGTGTGCATTAATTATTATCCTCGGGGTCTTTTCCCTGATAGGCCTATCACCTTTATCCCGCCTTTTCCCTTAATTGATCCTTCTTCCGAAAGCAATAGAGCATCCAGCATTCACATTTATCTTTAAAATCATTATTTGGGGAAATATTCAAGAGAAAACATTTTATTTCTGCGAAAACCCTCAAGTCTACCTCAAAGCTTAATTCTTATCCGGTTTTTTTCTATTAAATTCAATCACGGTTTTATTGTTTGAAAAAAGAACAAGGCAAAAGTCAAGAAAACTAACATTGTCATATTAACAATAAAATGGAAGAAAACATGAAACAAGCTTATAAAATCTCCATTGAAATATAGTAGGTCAATACAAATTTTAACTCAGCAAATGTATTAATGCATTAAAAAGGTACTGTTAAATGATAATTATTATATTGCAAGCAATTTATTATCATTATTATTATTTGATAGATTTAAAAATATTAATGGTACAATACAAAATTTATATATTTCTACTTTGCAATATATATGTTGACAATTTAGGTGATCGCATTATTTGATTGGCTTTGTCCATACCTACACGAACATTTCATTTCATATCGCATTTGAAGAATGATTTTGAGTCTTTATGGCAAAATGATATATCTTTGTTTTCGACACACCCCATATAGTTTGTTATTACTAATAATTATATCTTGAGTGAAAACGGATCATTATTAAGGATACAAATTGGGAAAAACTGATCTGATCAATTCAATAATATCTGAGTATTCAGTGTCATGGGGAACATCATTGCAATGGGAAATTGAGAGACAGAGAGAGGGGGAGGGGGAGAGAGACCGAGAGAGAGAGAGAGAGACAGAGAGAGAAGAAGTAGGAGAGAGGAGAGAGAGAGAGAGACAGAGATAGTCGATTTATGCTTATATGTATATCAGATTATCGCATGACATGAATTATCCGATCATGTTAACATTTAAAAAATATGTTTTCCTTAAAATTTAGAGTTGCTTTAGTTTACAGTGTTGATCTGTTTTTGTTTAAAAGGCGTTTAAAACTCTTTTGAGGTGATATACACGTACATTTATATCATAAGTAAACAGTGATAAATTAAGTTATTTTACAAAGCAATATTACCAAAAAAATGAGAGACATATATTAGCAAATTGTACTCGAACTAAAAAAAAACAGGCATGTAGATTTTACGAGAATAACAAAATATTGTAATATACGAATGTTTTCCGATTACTACCAGACTACGAAACATGATGATTGAGGTGTGAGGGAACTAACCTAAACTGTATAACGTATATCTTATTCTTATTCGTGTAGGCTCTTCTCCATTACCTTGTATGCAATCTGTGTTGTCAACAAAAGAATTCAATTTAACTTTTATCTTTCTTCCTTGTTTTTTAAAACAAAAATCAGACGCATACAAACTTATCAAAAATGGCGCAGAAAGTTACGCTGATAACGGGCTGCTCCTCAGGGCTATCGGACTCAATATAGCTGTCCAACTTGGGAAGAACGCAGCGAAAAAGTATATCGTTTACTCGACCATGAGGAACCTTGGGAAGAAAGAGCCACTCGAGAATGCCGCAGGTGACGCCCTCAACGACACGATTTTTATCCGTCCTCTTGACGTCGTCAAAGATGACTCGGTGACAAGTGCCGTCAACGAAATCGTAGACAAACATGGTCGAATCGACCTAGTCAGTAAGTCAAGAAGTATATTTCTACTGATAATACTACTACAATTAATAATGATAATAATGATAATTATAGTAACGACAACCAGAGTGAAGATGATGATATGATATTGATATTTAAGTCTTGTCTGGCGCTTATGGGTAGATATTTGCAATTTCTTGCGCTCCATTATCATCAGACCATCTTAGTTCGGCAGCCATTACCCCTCTCTGGCCTTCCGTCTTGGAATCCATTTAAGGAAGTCATTCCCCACCTAAGTGGAATGTGGCAAATGTAGATTCATATCTTGCCAAATGAAGCTAGCGTTGTGAAAGGGATTCTAACCCGTACCTTGTGGTTCACAGTCCAGAGACTGGAACCTATCACCTCTTCAAATATAACAGAAAGAAATAATGATACAACTCATATTAAACAAGGTTACTGGCGAAACAAAATAATTCAGCCTTTAAATCGGTTTTCATATGTAGGGTTGTGTTTGTATTATAGTGGATAATACATGGGTATATTACGTACATCACAAAGGCACTAATTTTGAATTCAGCCCAGCCTTTGAGTCTGCCAAGACACTGATCTTTATTTGCCATTCCCCACCAAGGTTACAGTGGATAACTGATAGGCTTGAACCGTACCTGCTTAGGTAACGGGGGTAAAAGTGGATATCAAAGAATTGCTGCTTTTAAAAAATTACTTAAAACATATTTATTTCTTCAGTAATATAATATAATATACATTTGTTATGACTCTCGGAATTTTACATTTCTCTTCACATTCTTTTATTTTGTAAGCGCTTTGGTACTTTCTAATTTAGCTCTCCTAAGCAATCGATATTATAATTATCAATGTTATAAGTAGGACAGTATGACACGTCGCCTCAAAATGTTCACTGTAGAAAACAGGTTTAAAGACTACCGATATTATCAATAAGATTTATTTGTTTAGGTGGTTAAAAAAACAATTTTTATAGATAATACAAGTACGTTGTTATTATTTAGCCTCTTGATCAGTGAATGGAGAAAGCCAATGCAAAAACGATTACTTTGGTCCAGGGGCGGCGATCCCGGGGAATGGGGTCCCCTCATTTCTATAAGGGGGATCGTTCTCCCCCCCCCCCCCCCATGGAAAATTTGAAATTAGAAAGAGGGAGAGAGAGAGAGAAAGAGGGAGAGAGTGAGTGAGGAGGAACAGCGTACTAGAGAGAGGGAGAGAGAAAGAGAGATTAAAAAAGAGAAAGAGAGATTGAAATAGAGTACTAGAGAGAGAAAGATAACGAGATAAGGAGGGGCAGGTAAATTGGGAAATGGACTCCCCAAATTTGGAAAAATATTTTTGTTTTCCGAATCATATTGTTCTGGTTGTCTCATTTTCGATCGCTTGACGTATATAGCAGACGACAATCGGCGAATAAGACGACACTTGGTAATGAATTTGTATGTGAGATTGCTTTGCTAAATATAAAATACAAGAACAATTTCCATATCTTTAAACTATCATTGATATCTGATAATTAAAGAGTTATTAAAATAAACCTACCAAACTACATAATACAATGAAATACTTGACTTAAAGTAAGGGAGTTTGATGTGGTGCACAATTGCACCCCTCTGTAAATAATCGAATAGTCCATGGCGATCATGAATATTCATGATTTTGCTTACCTCGGCAAAATGTTTGCCTATCTTAATAGAAAATTACGGTGGGGGGTTGGATAAAATGGACATAATAAACCGATCAGAACTGATCTATTACAATTCATGCTTCTTATTCTTCGTGTGCTGGACCTAAAACCTTACAATCGCTTGGCAAACTGAGTCCAAAGTTCGACTTGTTTCACATGTGTTATATAGGCAATGGCGAGCTTGCAACCTATTTTGATCAAATTACAGTGGGTGAACTTTCAAACGTCAATGGGACATGAGTGTTCCAATGAAATAGTTAGTGATAACGTACGTCGGGGTGGATGTGCTTTTCGTTTAAACAAAAAATGAATTTTTAACGATTTTGGGGGTAAAATTCCATAGGCTAACATGTTAGGCTGCTGACTCTGACGATAGCGGGTGTTGTCAAATGAGGCTAAACGGAGCTATATGCTACAGGGGATTTTAAAGCTGAACTGTAACGGTTAAACACCTGATCCAATGACTTGAACTACATCGATATTTAAGAGAGTATTTTCTTGTCCTTCTGTTTGTCTCTTTACCTCCCCATGTCTATATTTGTCTCTTCTCTCTCTCTCTCTCCCTCTCTTCTGTCCACTTTTCGCCTTCTCTCCCCCACAATCTATGTAGTTAACAACGCTGGTATCGCCTCCTTCAGCCCGATTGAGTACCATCCACTGGCTGACGTTCGGGACGTGTTCGAGACGAACTTCTTCGGGGTTGTTCGGATGATGCAAGCAGTCTTGCCTCACATGAAGGAACAGCGATCAGGACATATCATCAACGTCAGCACCATTGGAGGAGTCTTAGGTACACGATCTTAACTACTTTTGTTTGGTATGTTTGGTTTTGGTAGGGTTGGTTTATTTAACCTAACTGCTTTGACAGCGTGTGGGATCCTATAGGTCCTCTCCGAGGTACCTGGTCATGGTAATTAATGCATTACTACTCCCGGTTAGTGAGATTGCCGCTCTACAGACAAAAAATACCAATCAAAAACAAATGTAATCAAATTTATTTAAACGAAATTAAAATTAGATTGAGCGAATTGAAATTAGATTAAATTAAATAGAGTTGAATTCGTTAAAATTAAATTAAATTAGATGAAATAAAGTGACATGAAATGGAATAAAATAAAATCAAATTAAACTAAATGAAATGTATTCAAAATAAAATGGACTTAAACAAAATGAAATGGAATCAAACGAAATCGAATAAAACAAAATGGAATCAAACAAAATGGAGTAAAATAAAATGTAATCAAAGGAAATTAGATGAAATAAAAAGAAGTGAGATGAAATAGAATGAAATGAAATGGAACGAGATCAAAGAAACTATATATTTTCTGTCTATAGGTCATCCATTCTATGATACGTACAGTGCCTCAAAGCACGCCATGGAAGGACTCACTGAATCATTAGCAATCAGGATGAAAGCATTCAATGTCAAGTAAATATTTTGTTTATATTCCAATCCCCTTCTCTTTCTCTCTCTCTCCATTTATATATATATATATATATATATATAAATAATACAAAATAAAAAACAAAAATAACATTAAACTAATAATAATTCTGCGGCGGATGACGAAAGATGGACAAGTAAAGAAGAAATAGTGAGAAAAAAAAGTATGGTTATAGTGTGCAGAAACCAATATTATTAAGCTAAACCAATCGAAATGTTGAATGGCTGTTTTGAAAGGGTTAAACTGATATTGACTTGATTTCCATGTTATAACTTAGATTAACTAGCGTGCTGCCAGGTCCGGTGACTACAAACATTAATGATAATATCACTGCGGGAAACAGACTGCCTCCAAGACAGAAGATGGATCCCATCACAAGAGAACAACTCAAGATTCTGAGCACACATCAGAAGTAAGAATATTTTGTTTTATCTTTATGAACTTAAAAATGAAGTTGAGTCCTGGTCATGTGATTGCATTGTGACAGAAACGTTGTGGAATCGATTAGAACAGGTTGATCATCTAGCATATAAGTATTAGTGTGTACTGCAAGGTTCTGGAATCATCAAAATGATAAGAAATTTGGTCCAATCTTGGTAAAGTAACAAGCACTGTACACAGAAAGATGTATATGGGACTACACGAATATGCGGCATAACAATCCGTCCCGATCTGTATGATGTTGCATTTGAAGGGCCAAGCTTTTCACGGAACTTTTTTTCTCTCTCGTTCTTCCACACTTGCATAATACGATGATAACGCTCACAAACTGTTTTTCACCTCTTCCCAGAACTCAACCTTCTCTTTAAATATACAGACAGCAATGAAAGGAACTTTGTATTGAGCGTGACTCTTTGCCCCTTCACACACAACCAATATCTTTGAATTCTATCCCCATAACATATTGTTTTCCTATATGAATATGATTACTTAAATCATTTTCACATAAGTTTAAAGCCTAAGCATATTTTACAAATCCATACTAAAGTTTTTATATACAACATATAATTTGCAAAATACACTCTGATTCTTTTTTTAAGGGAATCATTGGAGGAAAAAAAAACCCTATAGGAATGATCGAAATGTTTAATTTGTTGATCCAGAATGAGTCTGAATGTACGGACGGCAGTGTTGCGAGATCATGATGGAGGAAAAGCGTGCTGAAAAAAAACCTCACCCCAAGAAATAACTTAACTTATTCTAAGAGATGTATAATATTCTTGCCCATCAATCTCCAAGATTCCTCACCAAAGTGTATGATAGAGGCATGAAGCAAGAACAATGTACAATTTCTCGCTATTTTCTTGATAACGTGACGTTCTATGTGAAGACATTTATCAAGTAAATGTATTCAATTTTATTGAATGCTTCCTTCCCAGGTATGTGTTGTGATGAGGCATTTCATTCACCTACTATCATCTTTGTACTACTATTGCCAGAACGCAAATTGCATAAATAAGTTGGTCAGAGTTCAACCGTCTTAGCTACAATTGAAAAAGGATCACAGCTGCATGCACAGCTGCCATAATGTGTCATTATTATCGTTATTGTTATTAATGTCGTTGTTGTTTCATTATCATTATAATTTTTATTTTCATTGTTGGTATTATTATTAGTAGTATTAGTATTATCATAAGCGGGGGACTAAAGTTTAAAAATAAAGGTTTTCCTGCAACACCTTGTTAATTCAAAAGGTGTTATCATAATAAATAATATTTCAGGGGTGTCCCATAGATCGGAGGGGACTGGCCCAAAAGCGGCGATTTTGACTAAAAGAAGTATTTTGTAAACATTATTTCAAGGAAACATTAAAGCACCATGAAATTGTGTCAAAATAAAGAAAATTCTATTATCTACGTTTTCATACCAATTTCAACGGGATTTCGACTAATAAACATCACAATTTTAAGTTTAAAAAAAATTGTTTTTCTTTGTGATTTGTGTTTCCAAAAAATTGAATTTTATCAAAAACGTATTTTTCCACATCGAAATATATTTTGAAAATTGGAGAAGTCTTTTCCTCAAACTTTAAAGCAATACACCCATGTACACTATATGCATAAACTTGTACTAGTGTATTGAGGACGCGTTTGGTGTGTTTCAATCGAGTTTTAAAGAGAATTTGTAATTATCCATCTTATGACACCAAACAAATGGTGATTTTAAGGTTTTTCTTCAAACCTAAAACTATCTATAAAACTCGATGTAAACACCCCAAGCTCGTCCTCAATGCACTAGTACACACATGTGGGCAAATATGTCGTTTGTGTGGAAAGCAAGATATATTCGACTTTGGCCTTTCGCTTATCATCATTATTATCATTATTATTATTGTCGATATTATCATCATTATTATCATTATTTTCGTATATCACAGACTCTGGTTTACGGAAATGGTCCAAACAACGGAGGAAATCGCCGACATCGTCCAGGAAATCATCGAAATGGACCTCTCCAACGGACCGGTTCGGTTTCTAACCAGCGAGGAGGTTCGAATGAGGACCGCCAAGAAGTTTTCTGAAATCGGAGCTGTCACGTGGATGAATTTCATTCGGAAAATCATCGAGGAGCCGGTCGTTGCCGATTCCAAGCCGAAACATGACGAGTCGCAGATCTAAGAACCTTTTCGTTAAATCATGAAATTAGACTGTCTATAGTGATGCTGATTGCACACGAGTCGTCACTCCACCGTGCGAATTAATTGAAAAGCATAAATCGACACTCCCCTTTTCTCAATCTAGGTGTACCGTGTAGTAGGTTTGGAAAGAGAAAGGAATTTCGATGAAATCCATTGTACATTGAAAACGTTTAACGAAGGAAAAACCATGAAATCCGGGGAAACAATTTCCCAACTCCTTTGGAACGATTAGCGACTATGATCATATATTTTGCATGTGAAAGCCTACAGAGGGTTTCCGGGTTGTTAACAGGAGCGGTACTAGGGGCGCTTTGGGGAGCAAAAGACACCCCCCCCCCCCCTCTCCTTAACAAAAAGATTTGTTTAAACGTGTTTAAACAATGATAAAACGTATTATATATCATTTGGTACTCAATCCAAGATTGACCAAAATTCATGCCTAAGCGATAGAAATATGAAAATAGATAAAGTTTACAATACCAACACTTTTAGGGATATTTAAATATGACAGACTTTCCTGGAACCACCATATTAATAACTTTTGTAAAACTATATCAAGAAGTAGGCTATTAAAATTCGTTACAAACTGCAATTTCTTCCTCAAAAGTCCAAAAAGTTTTATTTTTATATTACTTCCGTGTGTCATTTTATAAAATTATTAACTGTTGTAATATTATTTAGGATTTTACAGCAAAAACAAAAAGATATTGAAAGAATTTATAAATTATAGAAAGGTGGTATTCAATTAATAATGTATTCTCTGCATTTATCATCTAATAAATCTCTATTTACAAAAATGAAAATGTTACATATCCATGAATTAATATCGTTAAAACTGCAATATTCATGTTCGAACTACTCACCAAAAATCTTCCTGAAGTTTTTGATATTTATCTCACTTTATATTGTTCTGTCCATAATTATAATACCGGGGGGGGGGTGTTTCATAAAGCTGTTCGTAAAGTTACGCATGCCTTTACAAATGACTTACATAAGAAAAGCCAAATGGGATGCTCAATCATTTTGAACTACATCAACTAAAGTTGAACTGTGCAGATGTAGATTAACATTTTAATTATAACAATCATTTTTAATGCAAAGTACATTTTTTGCCATGATTTAATTGAGGTTATTGGAAATATAGTCACCCTTTGTTAAAACATCAGGAAAAACTTTGGGCATCCTATCTGGCACTTCATATTAAAGTCGTTCGTAAAGTCATGGGTAACTGTATGAACAGCTTTATGAAACACCCCCCCCCCCCTGGAATGATCAAAATATTCATCTCCCATCTAACCGTTTCCCGATATATCGATATTCCATCTTCTATAACTGCTTAATTTTATGGAATAACCTTCCTAGATAAATTAAGAATAGTAAGAGGATTCAACTATTTTATATAAGCAATTTCTTTTTGAAAAAAAATCTAAGACTTACAATGTCAATGTTTATGCAATGTTTCCTCCTTCTTTTCTCTAGTCACTTTATCTTTCCCCTTTTTTGTGTAATCCATATTTTTGGTAAATTATGTTTTGTTAAGTTATTTTTATTTTGTATATTATTTTGGTGATGATAACTGTTGACGAGCCATTTATGTGCTTTTCATGGTCCTCTCACTTCAGATATCGCATTATATATGTCTGTATTGAAGATTGTATAATTTTGTTTTTATTTTGACATGATGATGCCCGGTGATGATGCTTTGGTACAGGAACCGTAAA